GCCGGAGCCGCCCCGGTGCCCGGTGGCCGCCGGCGGGGCGGAGCCGTCGCTGGGCCAAAGTCGTTTGAAAGAAGCTGAAATTGAAACAAAACTCGTGGGGGAAAAAAAAATAATATCTATTTCCCGAGGTTTTACGCGGCGCAATCTTGTCCCTGGTTCTGGCAGTGTTGTGTATTAGATCGCAGTATTAATTAGCGGCATTAATTATTAGCGTTGCTAAAGCTCTCGGGCATTTGCCTTGGCCCAGCCCCGCGATCGTGCTCACAGTTTCAGGGTGGTTTGGGTTTTTTTTGAATAACGACGGTTCGTGCTGCGGTGGAGATTTGCTTGGGGGAGAAAGCCCTGGGAGAAGAGAAAAAAGAAAAGAAAAGAAAAGGAAAGAAAAGGAAAGAAAAGGAAAGAAAAGGAAAGGAAAGGAAAGGAAAGGAAAGAAAAGAAAAGAAAAGAAAAGAAAAGAAAAGAAAAGAAAAGAAAAGGAAAGAAAGAGTGACAGAGAAAGAAAGACAGAAGGAAATAAGAAAGAAAGAAGGAAATAAGGAAGACAAAAGAAGGAAAGGAAAGGAAAGGAAAGGAAAGGAAAGGAAAGGAAAGGAAAGGAAAGGAAAGGAAAGGAAAGGAAAGGAAAGGAAAGGAAAAAAACGAAACTAAAACACGAAAAGTAAACGAAAACAAAACCAAAAAAAAGGGGGGAGAAAAAGGTGGGGGCGAAGGCTAAAGGAAAAAGAAAAGAAAGCTGGGAGAGGGAAAGGGAAAAGAAACTGTAAAAGATGAAGAAGGGAACGAACGGGCTCGGGGAGGGCTGCCCAGCCGCCCCGGCCACAGCGCGGCCGCGCTCCCCCTGCTCCGCGCCACGGGAAAAGCTTTGGGGCAGAAACAGCCGATCCCGGGGGCCGCGGAGCCCACTCGGGACCGCGCTGCTTCCCCGGGACGCGGGCAGCGACCAGGTCCCAGCGGAGCCGGTTCTTCCGGCCCGGCCTTACAGCCCACTGGCGGCCCCAACGCTTCACGCAAGTGCGTGAATTTCCCGCACGGACACGCGTCTCGGGGAAAAACACGGGAGGATGGGTCAGCCCAGCTCTCGGCCGAGTTCAGGGCAAATGAACGCGGGGAGCGGGCAGCCGCCGTGTACCGAAAGGGACACAACGATGTTGTCGCCCTCCCGAGAAATAATCACGAGCGAATTCCCTAGTTCTGAGTGTCGGAATAAATCTGTGGCGGGGAGGGGGTTTGCTCTGACAGGATGGGAGCGCACCCACAGACACGCGTGGTGGGAAGGCACCCACCGCCCTCCACGGACACGCGGGGATGGGAGCGCAGGAGCGCGCCCGCTTCCCACAGGGTCCCACGGGAACGAAGCCGATGTCTTTGTCGATGGACCGGGATGGCTGGTGGGGGGGTCGCGAGTGGGGGCTCGGAGCCCTGCTCCGCCGTGCAGGGACCCCCAAAGGTGCCACGGCGGGAGCTCCCCGCCACCCACGGGCCCTCTCAGGCCTCGTGGGGGGGTCACGAAGTTGGTGGGGCTGCTTTGGGGGAGGGGGGGGGGGGCTGCGGCCGTGACAGCGGGTCGCAGAGATGGATGGCCCGAGGGGCCGGGCCGGGCCCGGCCAGCTGCTGCCCAGATGTTTCCCCGTGGGACCCCCCTATTTTGCGGAGCCCCGCGGGGCGAGCGGAGCCGGAGGGAGCCCGGGGGCGGGGGGGGAGCTGCAGCCCCCCCGGCTGCGGCATTGCCCGGGTCCCGGCTGAATAATTAATGGTTCATCTGCGGACGGGGCGGCGGGAGGGGGAACTGGAGTGGAAAGAGGAGAAAAGCGGCAATTGCCATTTATAGGGGCCCGGCGTGTTTATTGATCCGCGATTTACTGACTCGGACTAATCCATCAGATGGACTCCGGCAGCCCGGCGGGACCGGGACCGGGATCGGGACCAGGACCGGGACCAGGACCAGGACCAGGACCAGCCCTCGCCCTGGCCGTGTTCCGCGTCTAAAACTCGTTTTTTTCGCTTGCACTGGGAGGGAAAAAACCTGATCGCAGGCCAGGCGAGGAAGGGCTCCCTTCCCTCTTTGCCGGAGGCGGGGGTCGCAGCCCTCCGGGCCCCTCCAGCCCCCCCAGCCCGGGGCGGCCTGAAGGGACGAGCAGGTTCCACCGGAGGCCCCGGAGTGGGTCGGGTTGGGGGGGGGATTCGCCTGCAACGATCGTGAAGGCCGGGCACGGTCTCCCCGCTCCAGCACGACCCCCTCCGATAGAACCCCCCCTTCTCGGGGCAGCCGGGCCGGGGCTGAGCCCGAAGGGCTTCAACCGGTCCCGGTCCCGGGTGGACGAAACGGCGGGAGGAACGAAACGAAAGCGGGTCCCAGCGGGGCGGCACCGGGGCCGGGGACCGGGAACAAAGCGGCCGGGCCGGGGGAGGCCGCGGGGAGGTGGGAGAGGCTCCCCCCGCCCGGGGCCGGGGTCCGGCCGATCCCCCGCCAAGGGCCGCTCGGGGCGGCCCGGTCCCGCGTGGGGAGCCGGGGTTCAACGCGGGCCGGTTCACGGCGGGGTGACTGCTTTGGTGGTTTGTTTTGTTGTGGCTTTTTTTTGTTGTTGTTTTTTTCCCTGTCTTCGCAGAAAGCAAAGAATTAAACCCTGTCCCCGTGAAATTTGGGGGTTTAATTTCCGTAAATAATGCCTCCAAGGCGTCCCTGGGGCCGAGGGAAACTCGGCGCTGGGGAATAAAAACCATTTGGGAGAGAATAAACCTCCCCCGACGCCGCGGGAGGAGCGGAGCGATGGCAGCGGGGCCAGAGCCCGAGCCGGGCCGGCGGGCAGGGACCTCCCCGAGCCTCCCCCAGCCGGGGCCGCATTTTTATCATCACCATCATGGTTATTATTTCAAATTTTGGCGAGTCAGAAACCGGCCACCCGCTGCTCAATTAGCCCGAACAACGGGGGCATTAAACGGCCGATCGCGGCAGTGTTTAAATCTTTATTTACCAGAACCTTGTAAAGCCAGGAACAATTTGCATTCTATTAACTGCTTTTCAATAGGGCATCGACTGGAACTAAAAGATGCCACTACCCTGCCCTAATTAAAGAGCAACTGAATTACACTAAATACATATGAACGCTGCTCTCCTTCATAAATAACAGCGGGCTCCTCGCCGTGCCGAGCGCCCGGCGGGCCGGACTCTGCCCGGCGCCACGGGGACCTCTGATTTCTTTAAAAAAAAAAAAAAATTAAAAAATTATACACGAGTGGCTTTTACCCCACGGCCATCCCCGCTTGGCCCCGCGGAGCCCCGGCGCGGTTCTGCCGGGGACGGCGCGGAGGAGCCGGGGGAAGGAAGGGCCGGAGAGGCTCCGGGGGGGGGGGTGGTGGGTCAGGCCGGGCACTGACCCCTCTGCCAGCCCTCGACCCTCTCCCCCGCGGAGCAGAGCGGAGCCGCGACCCCCGCCCGCCCCCCCCCGCAGCCACACACAGCGCGGCCGCGCAGCAAAACCGCGTTTCTCCAGCAAACCCTCGGCCCGGCGCCGGCCTGAGGCCGAACGAGCCCCGCCGGGGGCGGCCGCGGGGAACCGGGGACACGGGGCGGGGGGGTCGCTCCTTCTCCCCGAGGGCAGCCGGTGCCCCGGAGGGAGCGGAGAGCAGCCCCGGTGCTGCCCGCGTCCCCCCACCCTATCCCCGGCCCCACCGGCGGGGAGCGACTGGGCAGCGCGGGGACGGACCGGAGCTTTCCCCGAGCGCGGCTCCGGTACCGAGCGGCGGTGCCAAACAGCCCGCGAAGGAGCTCCACGAGCGGCCCCGGGGGCCGCGGCTCAGCCCGCACCCACGGGCGGCGGGGACCGTGGGCCGGGGGCTGTCAGCGGCTCTCCGCGGGGTAAGGGACAGCTTCGGCGGGCGGGACGGAACGGGAAAGCCCCGCCGGGGCTAGAGGCAGCCCGGAGGGGCGGCGGGCAGCGGCGGGCAGCTCCCGGCTCCCACCACCCGGGATGTCTCATTTCCCTCTGGCAGGAGCAGGCCCGGGGAGGCGGGGGGGGGGTGGAAGGTTTGCCTTCAATATAATACACCTTAAATAGAATTTCTTTCCCTTTCTTCGAAAGGCTTCACATCGGCTCGGTAACAGCCA